GCGCACATACACATATGCACACATACAATACATACACACATACACACACGTACACACATGCTCACATACACACATGCATACATACATACACACATACCCAAATACATATCATACAGACACATACACACATACACACATACAACACACATAAACACATACACACATATAATACACATACACACATACACACACACATATATTCATACCACACATATGCACATTCTCACACCACACGCATACACATATTCTCACACCACACACCCACATGCACACACACACACAGACACACACGTACACGCAAACACACACATACATACATGCACACATGCATAAATACACATCACACACACATACACACATAAGACATACACACATACACATACACACAACACACATACACACATACACACATGCACATACATACACAAATACACCACACACATACACACGCATACTCTCAAACACACATACATACACACATACCCATATACACAAATACACACCATACACACACACACATAGACATAATCTCACGCCACGCACACACATGCACACGCACACATGCACACATACACACATACACAAACATACACATATTCTCACAACACATCCAAACATACACACATACATTGTGCTTTATACACATAGATATAGTTTATATGCCAGGATGATACATTCTGGTCCTTCTTTTGTAGATTTTGGTGAGATGCCAATCAGCAATTTTCTAAAACAATCTGAACTCTTATGCTTTTTTTCAACGGGGTGAAATTTTCATTTAAAGCAGAACAACATTTTTGAGGTCGCATTCCACATGAGATTTTAGGCTAATGTCACAGCTTATTCACGTTTCCGATTGGGTAAGGGCAAAGTTGTAATATATCACACCAATTACTGGCTTTTCTTTCAGCTGTTGCGTATAAAGATGTTGGGAATCCTTTGGTAGTACATTATGAATACAATAGGCTAAAAGAATTTTTCTGTGCAAAAGTTAAAATTCCATGAAATATCGTGGAATAGGAAACAATCAAAAGCAAGTTATAATTCATAGTATCATTCGCTCTCTAACGCAGGCCTCGACAAGTCTCCGATTGCACCTTACTAGAACAAATACGCTCTTGAAAAAACAGGAAATCACGAAGTATTTGTAGCCTATAGAAACGCGAGCAAGCATTACAACACTACAGTGTTATGCTTTATTAAGGTGAAAAAAACTTACATTAGCAAGGAAGACAGGAAGTGCTTTGATCTGGTTATTGCGCTACAAGTTGAGGATGCATAAGTTTCTATAAGGAAGCATTATGGGAAACAAAAAAGTGTTTGCTAATCGGAGACCTCAGGTCTCTCCTAGGTTTGGGAAACCTGAATCACAGCTACAGCGATTTTTTAACTCTCATAATTTTTTATTGACTTTTCATACACTTCTTTTGCTTTTTGTTGTGCATCTTTACGCCAATTTTGGTGGCTGTCCATTGTTTGGTCCAGAACGGGTTTATACGGATGTACTTCGTTTGATTTCCCGCGCAATCGCCGCATTGGTAC